GTTGTTTTTTTTTTTTTTTTGTTTTCTTAGAAATATCGGGATAGGCAACCTTGGCGCTACAGCAGTTGGGCAGCAACAAGACATGTCACAAGCATGTCTTCCAGAGGCAGGGACATAAGGGTTTCACCAAAGCTGGAGGTTGCTTACCCCTGGCATAGATACTGCAATTAGTACATCAAATCAGATGTAGCATACAGGTTTATGAAATCTAATAGCGAAGTTAGTTTTTAACATTTGAATCCCCCACATGTACTCTAGATTAAAACGTGCTGTGGGCAGTTGTCTTTGAAACTAACTTTTTTTTTAATAATGCTGACTTTTTTTTTTTTGTCAAATTTAGAGAGAATATGGTGATAGTAAGAGAGTGTTTGGTGAGCGCAAGAGGAATGATTCTTATACAGAAGAGGAGCCGGAATGGTTTTCTGGTGGTCCTACTAGCCAGTCTGAAACAATAGAGCTCACTGGGTTTGATGATAAAATTCTGGAGGAAGATCATAAAGGAAGAAAAAGGACACGAAAGCGACCCTCTTTTGTGAAGGAAGGCAAGTGAAGGGTTTTTCTACTACTATAGAGAATAGCATAGTGTTCTGTTGTAAGGCTCTGGAGGTCAGCCTACCAAAAGACTGTAGAAAGAGTCTGCTTTTAAGACATGCTTTCTAATAAAGCACACTTAAAGTGTCTAACAATTTTTTTTTCAATAACTTGATACTTGTGTGCCTTACTCTTATACAGTAACATGTGTCCTCCCAACCATATACTAGTCGTGACAGTTTCTGCTGTTCAGCTTAACATTTGTGAGGCAAACATTTGGATTACTGGCATAGTGCATGTTACATTTTAAAGACGTACTCTAGACGGAATAAAAATTTACCTTTTTGTAGTGGGTCTACTAACCCCGCATTGCAAGGGTTAACTGCTAATTTCTCTCTAGGGGACTGAATAAAGAAAAAATACTCACCCGAGCCTTGATCTTGCGGCAGAGACCACTTGCCTCTCTCCCTACGCTCTGGTGGTGGCATTTCCCTCAGTGTACTCTATACACTGTATTACGTGATGACTCATGGGTTGTTAGACTGCCAGAGTCTGGGGAAGAAGAGGCTGCCGGGAGTGGCCTAGCAGCCAGGTAGGACCTAGGCTGCTTACACCACCCCCCTAGACCAAACAAGCAGTTATCCCTTGCAGCGTGGGGGTAGCTCTACTGCAAGGGTCTTTTTTTCTAACCTGGAGTTAAACTGTTCAGATTTAGTCCCTGTACAAGTGTGGCATCTGTTCTTTAGGTTTCATATCTGTCTTGGTTAACATGTGATCTGCTTTTCTGCATGTTATAATGTTGCTATTATTTCATGGCCTCTTTCCCCAGGATTTGAATGTAATGGTGGTGTCTTGGAGGAGGAAGAACCGGCTGCTCTTCAAAGAGAAACGGCTGACCAGGAAGTGCCTCAAGAGGCTGTTCTCCCAGAACCAGCCCCGGGAGAGTTTGACTTCAATGAGTTCTTTAACTTAGACAAGTCTGTGCCTGGCCTGGCATCGGTAAGTGCTGTGGTGTAATGCTCACCTTGTATCTGTAGGAGCACCAAATCTTTCTGGGTTTTTTAAGCCTAATGTCTTGGCATGCAGTCTGTGAAACTCTTAAGGACATTACTTGTTGCCTATCTTTGCTATACACTGGTGATGGGTTGTCACAGTTGTGCACACAGAGGGTTTCTGACTTTTACCTGGCTTGATATCTCACTATAACCCAGAAAGAACTGTATTTATCCATGCTCAATTGGTTGTCAATTTTGGACCATTTTGCATTTAATATGTTTCAGACTGGTTTGGCTTTTTTTTTTTTCCCCCCTCGTTTTGGAGGTGGCAGTTGAGAATCTATAGGCTGTTTATAGTATGACTGGCTAGAGTGGTCCAAATGTACAGGTTTGGCCCATGGTTTAATATTAATTTAATATAGAAATCCTCAGTGCTGTTTTTGAGCTTCAGTAGTCCCAATGCCAAAGTGGTTTGCTGTTTGCAGCATGACCAGTTGTTTGCTTTTGTGGTTTATCATCCAAATTGCCTTTATGTGAAGTATTCTGTTGTGAGTGGTGGGGAGTTAAAACCTAAATGCTGGACTTCGGGTTCAAAGCTGATATTCCACAGCCACAAAGTGGTCCCTTCACATACAAGTAAGTGTAACACCATTGCAACTTATGTCCCTACTCTTAACACGATCTGTGTCTCAAAGTTTATATACCTGTTCTTTCTGCAGATGATTGAGGATGTACTTGGGGAAGGATCAATGACTGCCAGCAGGTTTAGCAGATGGTTCTCAAGTAACAGCCATTCTGGGAGTCGTTCCAGCAGTCTGAGGTCCACCCCTCATGAAGAACTGGAAAGGCTAGCAGGTGAACTGCTTTTTCATCTATTGTCTTAGTTAGGCTAGTGTGTGGTTTGTGGTGGTGGGTGGCTTTTTTTTCCCCTTTTTTAAGCTTTTTGCCATCTGACAAGTACCTGATCTTGGTGCTCACATCGCAATAAAGCAAGCACTTGTCAAGCTTTAAAGATCTTTATTTGCAACTGAGTTCATGCAAGAATCTGTTTGGTTCTTGCACACTTTTTAAACAAAGTTTATGCATGGCTTTTTCTTTTGAGCCTTCCCTTACTGTTGCGGGGAGGAAATCAGGGGTTACCCAACGTGTCAGGAAGATGGTGGGGTCTAAAGTTGGATTTAGGATGCATGTCCAGAGTTTAGTGTTAACAAATTGGGAAGTCTAGTCACTCGAGCTTCCACTACAGAAAATATGTAATTAAGGGCTGTAGACTACAGTTACAGAAGAAGTTACTTTCTTTTGGACACAGGCTTGGAACAAGTCCTACCCTCTCTTGGACAGAACTCTGGAAATTATTTTGCTCCTATTCAATTTGAAGAAAATGCTGACAAAGTTGACATCTTGGAGATGTTCCAGAAAGCCAAATTGGATATAAAGCCTTTGTTGTCAAACCTCACTGCAAACAAAGAAAAGCTACGGGAGAGCAGTAAGTTCAATTTGGTGGCATAGCCCAATGGTTTGGGTGGGGGAGAGAATATGGTTCATTTAAAGTGCATTTCCACTTTTGCAGTCACATTTAGGAAAACCCCTCCATATGTATGTGTTCCTTTTCACAGCATGCTTAAAAATAACTCAAATGTGCTTACCTTTTTTGATGTTTTGTTAAAACAGGCAAGGTGGCTGATTCCAGGCTTTTTTTTAGCCTTTTACAGTTGTCTGTCCCAATGGAAACTCTTGGGATGGGCATTTTGAGGATTGTGGGGTTTTTCTTTTTCTGATAAGCTTCATTAACATACAATGGACTAGCCACCTCTCAATAGACAAGACCCCTGCTGCCATTTCAAAGAAATAGAAGCAAGAATAAAGGTTAACGCTAACCTAAGTAACAAGAATTTAAACCAAAAAGCTTTTTTTTTTTTTTTTTTTTTATTTTTTAATGCTATGTGAATGGGAACATGTAAAAAGTATTAAAAGTGTTATCCCAATTTGGCTGTGGAAGTACACTTTAAACTCTGCTTGTCCTTCAAATTTTTCTTTGAATGATCAGCTTACACCTGGAAAATGTTTTTTTTTTTTTTTTTTTTTTTTTTTCCTTCTGTCAAACCTAAAGTGTCATTGTCACACAACCGTGATCCATTCTGATTTTACCTGAAGGTTAGTGGGGATCAGAACAGTCGGTGACGGACTGATTAATAGTGCATATTGAGTGTATTGATCCCCCAACTTTTCTATAATTTAGGGTATCCAAATCTCCAAGGCCTGTGCAGACTATAAATTGTGTTTTAAGGTGTGTTATATAAAGCAACCCCTTCATTTTGACAGACCTAACCCTTTACAACCTGACACACGGCATGTGCATTGTGGCAATGTGCAGGTGTGTTACCAATGTGTAAAAGGTGCCCTTAAAAATAAGTGGCACTAAGTGGTGTTACCATGCATTGCATTAAACTGTATTTTAGTTCCCGTTCACATTGAGCGGTTCGCAAATCGTGCGACTTGCATTTTGCGCGATATCGCGCAAATGCTTGCATTGAGCAAGCTTGAATCGCGGCTAAATCCGCTCCAAAAAGGGTCCTGCTGTAGCGACACACGACCCGCGACAGCAGGACCCTTTGCCCCATTGCCTAGGATTGGAGAGCGATATCGCGCGGTAAATTGCCGCGATATCGCGGGAATTACCGCACGATAAATCACTCAATGTGAACGGGGTCTTACTGCAGTTCTGTAAGAAAAATGGGGTACTTCTACACAAAGCTTAACCCCTTCATGACTGAGCTAGTTTTCAGGTTCTGTTCATAAATGACACATTTTTTACATTTTTGCTGTGTGATTCTTCCACAGCAGTAATATACTTTCTTACTAAATGTACCCACACATATTATATATAGTTTTTTAGAGGACAGATAGGGCTATATAATTATATCACATATGTGTACCTAACCCCTCACTTAGTTTGAATAAAATAAAAAAAGGAAAAAAACTAGAAGAAAACACTTTTTTCACAAGTTTTGATTATTATTATTTTTTTTTAAATTTTTTTATATTAATTATAGTATAAAAAATATATTTATATATAATTTATATTTTCCTAATTTTGTTTTACACTTTATTTTAATTTTTTTACACTTTGTAAAAAAAATAAAAATAAAATAAAAAAACTTTTTTTTTTCTTGTCAGTTTATATCAAGCAATCACTATGACAGCTTGATAAATTAACTTTTTTATTTTATTTTTGGCTATTAGGCTGATCCAAACTTAGGAACAGCTAATAATAACCTTAGAGACTGATCCTGACTTTAGTCAGATTCAGATCTCACTAAAAGCTCTTTGATCGTGCCTAGACGATCAGAAATGATACATTTCACTCAAAAGATATACATTGTATCTTTTGAGTGAAATGTATCTAAACATCGGGCTCTCGAGCTGTCAAAACAAATAGCAGAGAGGTGAGGTGAGTCACTGCTGCCTCTCTGCTATTTTGAGCTGTCAAATACGGGATCGCAAATTGCGGTCCTCTATTTGCATGTAACGGCTTCATTCTTTCATTAATGAAAGGAAGAAGCTTTTACAAAAAGCTTAATTATTTCATTAATTAATGCCTCAATACTGAGACATTAATGAATGACTGTTAAATGCTGAGAATCAGCAAATACCGGCATTACAAAGCCTGATATAACTCGTCACGTACAGTGTACGTGGCCAGTCATATAGGCACAAAGTGACAAGACGTACACTGTACGTCTCCCGTCACGAAGGGGCTAAAGCTAATTTCCACCTTTTGTAAGTGGTGTTTATTGTGGTAATGTAGAGGTGCAGCGATGTATGTGTACACATTTTCATGACTTTCATTGCTTTGGTGTGTGGGTTTTTTTGTTTTTGTTTGGGGCTTTTTTCTTTTTTGTCCTACCAATTAACCCCTTCATGACTGCGCTTGTTTTTGGTTTCTGTTCGTAAATGACTGACACACTTTTGACATTTTTGCTGTGATTCTTCCACGTCAGTAATATACTTTCTTACAAAGTGCACCCACACATATTATATATTGTTTTTTTAGAGGACAGATGGGGCTATATATTTATATCGCATATGTGTGTCTAACGCCTCACTTAGGACAAATAAAATATAAAAAAAAACACTTTTTTCCCAGTTTTGATTTGTAGTAGTTTTATCAAAACCAGCACAGCTAAAAAAAATGCAATACATTCATTTATTTGTCCCTTTATTTATTTTTACACTTTTCACAATTTTTTATTTATATCAAGCAGTCATTGTGAATTAATCTCACTATTACTGCTTGATAAATTAATAAATTTTTGGTTATCAGGCTGCTTCAAACTTCAGAACAGCCGATAATAAGTTAGTGACACTGATCCTGCAGCAGTTCAGGATTCAGCTGTCACTGAATGTTTCAGAAAACTGAAACATTCTACTTTCAGGAATAGATACATTATGTGTCTATTTCTGAAAGTCAAAGATAAAAAAAATAAAAATAAAAAAGCCAGTATAGCTTGAGAGATATCTCTCTCGATCTATACGAGCTGTCAGAATGCCGGCCTGCTCTGCTGTGACTCACCCGATATTAAAGTATCGGGTGTCTGAAAAAGGTTAACCCTTTCATTAATGGATGCCTAGATAGTTAGACATCCATTACTGAATGGTAACAGCTGATTCTCAGCGGTTACCAGCCTTCTATTGCAGCACATAACTTGTCACGTTCAAATCTT